CACTTGTTCACAGATATTACTGTGAAAGCAACCCCAGGTGTCCCTGGTGTCTCTGGCTCTCCCCAGGCCTGCGCTGAGAGCACCAGCCCAGCTGTGATCCCCGCCCGGGCCAGCGCAGGGCTGCAAGAGCGAGATGGGGCTCCCAGAGAGGGTTGTGGGCACAAGACAAACCCAGCTGGGATCTGTGCACCTTTTGTGGCTCTTCCTTCTCTGTATTTCAGTATGCAAGTGCTACTGACTCGATGTGCACCTTTTGTGGCTCTTCCTTCTCCGTCCTTCAGTGCGCAAGTGCTACTGACTCGTTATTCTTACACAGGATTTTCCTACCTAACTCACAGTTTGCTCCAAAGCACCTTCCACCTTTTACATTCTTACAAATCTCTCCCTCCTTTTTCTAGCACTTCTCCATCGCTTCTTCCTCCTCATCTGCTAGCTCCTTGTTTCTCCACTCGTCCAATTTGTTTTATCCCTGCACCTGCACCTGGACTGTGATACTGCTGAGCCAGGCTCGCAAGGAGCCTGCAGAGGCAGGTTAGGTTTGTTCTCTCTCCCCAGCTAGGAATTCCTGGTTCCACAGGAAAGGAGATGGGACGAGGTGCCCAGAGGCAGACCTGACAGGAAGGCATCTTAGGAGCAGAAAAAGACTCTCCTGGTACAGGAGAGAGAAACCGAAGCAGCTGAGGGGCTGCAAGGCCTGAGGGGAGGAAGGTGGATATTTCTGACGTGTGACTGTCTGTCTGCTCAGAGGAAAGATGCTTCTGACTCATGATCAGCCCCTTCCCCGGCATTGGGTCAGGAGGTCTCCCAATCCTTTCCTCAGCCACTGGTTCTCAAGTGAGCCATTTGTCATCCTCGATGTGTTAAGATTATGAACACTGTTAATTTCAGCTAATGACTAAGACAATTGCTTCTTCATTAATGCCAAACTGCTGCAGATCATTAATGCCAAAGTGGTGCAGAAAGGGATTTTGCTAGTGAAGCTCCAGGGGGAAGCAGAAGCTGATGTTAATGCTAAGCCGCCCCTGCCACGCACGCTTACACACTGCAAATCAGCAGGATGCTGGAAAGGGCTCACACGCCTCGTGGTTTCCGCTCCGTGGCAGAGGCACGTGGAGGCACTGCTCACACGGTGCAAACCCCAGGGCACAGTGTGACCGGCAGGACTAACCCCAGCCAAAATAAATAATCACCACTGTACAACACAATTTCTTATCTCACTCCCACTCATGATGAAAAATGTATAAAGTAGCACATAAGTAGAGCAGTGTCAGCAGCCGGTTGTGATCTACAGCCCCTTTGACTGGAATTTCAGGCTCTGTGCCCAGATGCTGACCCATTTCCATTAGCGCTGGGTCACGCTAGCACAAGCGGCAAGATCCGAGCCTGGATCCAGGCACGCAGGTAAACTCTGCTGTCTTCCCCACTGGGGGAAAGGCATTCCCATTCCCTGGATTCCTGGCAGGCAATGACGATGCCAGCTGCAAATCTTACCTCTATGGTGCGAGGGAAGTTCCTTTTCTATAGAGTACAAAGGACATTTTTCTCACATGAGCCAGCGGTATAATTTACTGCAATAAAGTAACCCTATAAATATTCCATGGAAAGACACAAACTACAAGATTTTTTTTTCATATAGACACATCCGAATTCTCTCAAAAGATGTTATGCATCAAAAACCTATTATAATACCTGGGGTGTGAAGCTTAAAATTCCAGCTGTTGGGACATGGCAGAAGAGCCAGAGCTCACCTGTGTCAGCAGTGACACGGCACAGGCCCCTGCTCGTGGGGACACAGGTGGCCTTTTGCATGGAGCCCAGCGCGGTGGGTCCTCAATAGGGCTGAAGCTTCAGACACTGCAGTAAAATTGCATATATATTAATAGTTTAAAAGTATCATTCAGGGAAGATCAGAGGCACAAAGCGGTTCCACGTGTACTGAATTCAGAGACTATGGAATAAGTTGCTCCCACCCTCTGCCAGCCCAGGACAAGGACCACTGCAGCCACTGCAGGGAAGGGCTCTCCCACAGACTTTCAACGCGGAAATGAAACCCAACAGAAACACCCCAATGAGGAAAAAAAAACACCTCAAATCTCCCCTGCCTCCTCCCAGGCTTTGCTGTCCTTCAGCCTTTCTAGAAGATCACAGGATAGGGAATGGACTTCCCACTGAAGATGAGGGGACTGGCGGCATGGAGAGAGACGCTGTGGCCTGCTCCTCTTCCCGCTACACATAAGCAAACTGGGAAAGCAGTCAAACTATTGACCCAGGAGGTGCATCCATGAAGTGTGGCCTAAGGGGCAGTCAGACCGTCCAAGCCTCAGCCCGGCAGGGCCACAGGCCAAGCCCTCGGAATCCTGCCGGGTGCTGCTTTGCGCCCACAGGCAGGACTTCCTCGGGCAGCTCCATGGCAGCAGTGACCTCCAGCAACACGGAGGCCGAGCGCGGCCGCCCCGGCACCAGCGGGGCCTTCCTGTGGAGATGCCCAGGAGCGGCGGCGGGAACGCGGCAGCCCAACAGCATCTGCTTCCCAGAGCAGCCCAGCAAGAGCCAGAGCCAGCCCTCGGCTCTAAAGCTCTGCTAATTACCGCACCTCGTGCTCTCCAAGCAGCCCCGTGACAGAAACACGCTGGGTACAGCGCTGCTAACCGCAACAGCTGCTGTAAAACAGCAGCGGATCCCGCGGGTAGCGCAGATATCCCATGTTTATGGCTCTTCCAGCTCCCTTCAGGCAGAAAACCAGGATTTGCTCTTATAAATGACTACACTGTAACCAATTACACAGCCATCAGTTTGTTTGTAATAGAATGGGTTATGGGGAAATGATAAGACCAAAAAGTGATTGCAAGTCACGTGTGTTACTGCAACATGTCCACAGATATCTTGTTCTAAAAGTTATTATATCCAGGAATAAGAAATAACATTACTCATTTTCTACATTTTTTAGAGAATAGCCGAGGCATTTTCAGATTTCTGGCATTCTTAATTACATAAACGAATTTTTTACAGTTGTCTCAAGAACCTGCACCGTTCTTTTAATTATTCCTGACTTGAAAAGAAACAGCAACTTTTTAAAAAATAATGAAGTGGTTCTAGCGGTAATAAAGAGCTGAACAAACATGATGAAGCTTGAAACAGAGGAAAGCTGATTACCTGGGGTTCCTATAGAAGACTGCAAATTTCAGTAACACAGAATGAACAAAATAAAAACCAAACCCTCAGCCTGATAGAAATAACTAACTGCAGAAAGATGAAAACACTTACGTTGAAATTCATGCCCCCTGCTTATCTGCCCTGCTAGAATTCATGGAAAGTCAGCAAAGCAGCTTTTATCTTCAAAAGCTTGAGATCTGCTCTCGGAAGACCCGCAGACTCTCTGAGCAATGTGATCCACTAGACGTGTTCTGGGGAGCAGCTTTACACTCACTTCCTTGGACCCTGGCTCCTCCAGTTGTTGGAGGGAAGGGATGGATTATACTTTGACCCGTAAGCACGCAGAGTATTGGTTTTGAAATAACTCTGTCTACATGGTATGAGGTTGATGATATATCTAGCCTCTATAGGATTCCCTCTAACTCTGAAAACCCTCTTGATATGCCAGTTTTTTTTTGAGTGGAGAATTTTTAAATTATATACTATAAAATATGGTTTTATATATCCCAGTCATGCTTTAAGAATAGGGAACAAACTAGGAAATTCCTACAGAACCTCTCACTTCTGATTTTTAATGAGAGCTATTCAATTTCAAAACTTCACATTTGGAAATACAGTTCAGGAAATCCTAAAATTACTAGGAAAAAAAAAAAAAAAAAAATACTTTGGAAAAAAAAATGAAGCACCTAGGACTGACATTCTCCAGCACAGATGTCCTTTTTAGTATGACGAAGACTGGAAACTACAAGGCTTGGGAAAAGACAAAAGGTGCAGCTCTCGTCCACAGAGTTGTCCCCGCTGTGCGGCACTGAAGTTCATTTTCCCCCTGCTCGATGCTGTTTTACACGGCACCCTGCAGGCCTGCCCAGCCGTCTGGCTGCTCTTGGCTCCTTTTTTCAAGACTGTTACAGGAAAGATTTAGGCTTTGGGATGAGATTTCCTCACAGCCCTGTGCGGAGGTCCAGAAATGGAACAAAATAATATAAAAATAGGCATAAAGGATGAAATGAAAGCTGTCTTTTACACAGAAAGGGGGGTGTTTTTCCTTAGCAGATAAGAGAGTAGGACTTTTTTTAGATATTACAATCCCAGTGTAACAATAGGCACTTATTTTCCTGATGAAGGTTAACCTAATGTGTTACCTATAAATTACTGATATTTCCTATACAGTATAATGAATGGGATAATTTCTGTGATTAAAGAAATTATAAATTCTGGTCTGTATAAAACAATGCATATGCAATATGGAGCTTTTAAAAATCCTTTGGATACTACAACACAAAGAGCTAATGTGTGGATTAGAAAAAGATTAGATAGGAATTATCTGAAAAAAAAACATGATTTTGCTGAGTTTACTTCAGTGATTCCTTCACAATTATTTTAATAATGAACTATTTAATTTGAAGTCCATTTCACAATAAAGCTCAAGAAGAAAATCAGCTTATTCTTCTAATATTGCTCGTTTCCTTCCACCAAAATGAACATACTTTATTACACCTTTATTTCCCTCTGTCTACTGAATCCACACCAAAAAAATAAATATTAGTTGCAGCTTTTTCACTAAAATGGAGAATGATACAGAAATGACCACGCATGGGTGCTAAGATTAAAGATTTCTATTTTTAAAATGAAAAATCTAGTAAAACTAAATTGACAAGTCTTCTGCCTTCCCTTAAGAGGAAATATGCTGCAATTAACATCAAATTGTTATGAACATTTATCCTAGTTGAAAAAGCCAGGTATCCAGAGGAAGTTACAGCACTACCGTCTCTCATTACTCCACAGAAAATGCATTTTAGTCCAACTGAAAAAGAAAGTTTCAAAATATTTCTGTATACATTAAAGCAGATTTGAAAACCCTTTAGTTCTTGTATTTTGAGTCCTTAGGAATGGTGAATTGCTTATGAGGTTTAGTAGCCTCATCCATCAGTTCCTTCAGCTGTCCAATTTGTTCGTCGCGGAAGTCATTAAGTTTCTCTTCTGTGAGCTGGACTCCAAATACAGCCTTTCCTCTCGGGTTTTGTCTGTCTTCATTAATTTGCTGCCATATCAGCGCTGCATAGTTCTAATGAGAAAGAAAAATAAAGGTCACAGAAATGACAAAAAGCAAGATTTAGGCCAACTTTTTTAGTACTATTCCAACTCTTCCACAGCCTTCTACCAGAGTCTACTAATCAATACAAAAAGGAAAACCATACACATTCTGTGAAAAGGAAAGTTATATGAAAAGTTTTCTTAAAGACATCGCCAACATCTCTTGTTAATTTTAAATAGCCAATTTGAAAAAAAAAAATCACATATGTAGAGATTTATGTATTTACACGCTTACCTGGACCTGTAGGCCAGGTGTTTAGTAGGTTGAACACTAAGAATACTTTGTGACCAGCAAACTACTCCCACTACAGATCACTCGAATTACTTCTGGCACAATTGTATTTTTTTTTTTTTAATTATTATTTATTTATTTATTTTTACAAATAAAGCTAATCTCTCTAAACCACATGATTCGATAAGCCCTCACTCCCTTGCTCCGATTAGGGAAATTACTAAGCACTGCTTCATTTCTGCTGTCTTCAATAATCCTAAGTACTTGCTTAGGAAACAGACTAGCAGGCTCTTCTGAACAGAACCTGCCCGACTTGGCCTTCAGCAGCCTCATTACTTGGGTAGCTTCACTTTGACCTTTCAAGATGCCTTTGTAGAGACCGAAGGGACACACACAACCATTTCCAGTAAATGAATCCTTACTAATGTCCTTCATAGTAATCCCAGATGCTCCCAGCCCTGGTCTTCTGGGAATCTTCCCATCATATCTTTATCTACCCACTTTATGGCCTAAGACCTTTCTCCCTAACAACTCTACAATCTTCTGCATCTACCACTGATTTTTCGTTTTGTTTTGTTTTGCTCTGCAAAGCCTGAAGGAATTCAGCAACTGCAAGACTTCTGTTACACCACTAGCTTTGAAAAAAAAAAATTGGCTAGATTACTTAAGCATTAAGGGAGAGGAAGAGATGGCTTCAGATGCCTTCATTCAGCAAGCCTCATTTTCCAAAGAAATAAATTTAAAAAATGATAACCACCTTTTTGTACTGTCCTGAATATAGAATCATAGAATCATAGAATGCTTAGGGTTGGAAGGGACCTCTAGAGATCATCTAGTCCAACCCCCCTGCATACGCAGGGACACCTAGAGCACGTGGCGCAGGACTGCATCCAAGCGGGTTTTGAAGATCTCCAGAGAAGGAGACTCCACACCCTCTCTGGGCAGCCTGTTCCAGTGCTCTGGCACCCTCACTGTTAAGAAATTTTTCCTTAAGTTCCTATGGAATTTTTGATGTTTCAGTTTCCGGCCATTTCCTCTAGTCCTATCAGTGGCCACCACTGAAAAGAGACCATGACCGTCCTCTGCACTCCCTCCCTTGAAGTACTTATATATATCCTTACACAAGGTAAGTTTGTTCATACTTCTTTTTAACCTTATTGTAACAGAAAGGATTTGTATCATGTTTATTTAAATAATAAAGTATTTAGGTCAGTGGATAGACAGACCAGTCAGTTTGCATTAAATCAGCACTGCACTGAGTGCCACTATAAAAGCACAGGTTTCTTAAAGGCAGAAGCGGAAGCAGCCAGCAGGTCGCACCAGGAACGTGGGCACAATTTGAAAACTGCTCTCATGCCACTTTGGAGCGATCATTGACCATTATGACTTGTCTAATGGCAACACTCGAGGTGACGCAAGGACAGCGCTTCGGGACACAGAACTTGCCCCGACGCTGCTCAGCACGAAGCTCAACTGGGCGCCCAACGCGGGGCGCCCAACGGCTCCTCTGCCCCGCGCGTCCTGCCTGCGGCAGTCGCATCTCTCGGGACACACTGCTCACAGGTTGCTAAAAAATGTTGCTATGGGTGCATTTGTGCAGAGCCCAGCAATATGTTTACTTACTCACACCTGTGAACCTCGTCGGTTGTCTCATTTTATCTGCAATTTCTACACAGAACCACCCAAGCAGCATTGATTTTTGAGCTGAACTTGAAGCAAAGCATCCCTGCATGGTCCTGCACAGGGACACACAACGCGCGGGAACGGACTCCAAGCTGTTTTCCCCCTGTTCTTCATGGCAGCTGTTCTGCTCCTGAACACGCCTCTGGCTCCCTGCCTCCCCGACCTTTTCCCGGCTGAAGAAATGCTCCGTGCGTGCCAGAACACCTCAGCGGCTGGGGTTTCACATCAATTTGCAACGCTACAAAGACTCAGTACTGGGCCCTGAGGAAACGCCAGTTTTTGGTTGGTGTCTGGTAGAAAACAGAACATTCTCACCCCCATTTTATGCATCCCACTGCTTTTGGAAAGCAGTGACATGACAGTGAAAATTTCAGCATTTACAAGAATACTGGAGAAGAGAATAAATACAGAGCATATCTCATGTTCTTTGCTAATGAAGCCAGTTCAGAACCAGCAAAACTTGGGATATTTAAGTGTTTAAAACACTACTGTTATTCGAGAAATTGGTGGTATTTAAAATAAACTAATAAACAAATGCAGATTTTTCCTCTGTTCTCCTGTTCACAACCATTTGCAGAATGCATGAATTTATCAAAAGAACATGGTCATCAGGGACATCTGAGGTTTCAAAATACCAGGTAGCACGGAAAAGGCAGCCTTGTTGCTTTCCAATTTCAGAGTGGATGAAGAGCAAATGAGAAATGCCCCCCAACACACACACAAAACCCGTAGCCCCTAATTGCCAAGTTCACCAAACACTGCCTTGCCCAGTAAATGCCGACCACTTTACTCATGCTGAAAATAATTTCTACCGGAAACTTCAGAGCCCACTTGCACCGTGAAAAATGGGAATCTTCTCCACTTCCATGTGCATTCCCCTCTAAGGAAGGTTTACATGCAGAATCTCGCATTTTATTTAAAAAAACAAAGCAAAAACACCAAATAATTTAAATTTAAGAAGTTATGTTAACTCACAATAACTACTTGTATAATTTGCTTTGTTGACTTATATTTTGGGGAAAAAAGTTTAAAAGTTATTATTTCCTAAGTTATAAGCAGTTAAAGTATAAAGCCAATATGTTCATCTGTTCCAGAAGACAACCTTCACTTTAACTCAATTAATAATAAGCACTGACCAAACAACATTACTGGTGTCAGATTAGGAAAGACTATTCTACATACTGAGGAGTTTAAATAACCAGCTATAGGAATGTTTAGCTGCAAGTTTAAGCAGAGTGAGTTAGAATAGAAACAGAAAGTAGCTACAAGGAATCCACACAGGAAAAAAAACAGCCCAGGATAAAGCAGAGTAGCCATCCCCTGGCCACCTACCTGGCACAGGGATATTCCAGAAAAGAAGGAAAAATGGGCAAAGCAGAGCAGCACACAGAGAAATTCTTTTAGGCAGAAATGGAAAACAACAAAAGGTTCCAGAAGGTCCAAAGCTCTGCCAGAGGCCAAAGCAGTTCGTGATGCCCCCTCCAAGGCCACAGGTGTGGACGGGAGGTGTGGCGAGCCACACTGCAGTACCCCACGTGGAGACAGGTTCATCTCATGCCAAAAGCAAAATACAGGTTAAATAAAATTCTACCTATTCTAATACACCACACTGAAATCAAGGAGCAGCTCCAAACACAAGCTGTGTGAAGAGCAACCTGGGTGAGATCCTTTTAGCCTATTGTCAGAAGGGATTTGTAGAGACTGTTTCAAGCCGAGGGGAGACTGCAGCATTTGGGACAGGATTGTCTAAATTTAAAAGACACTTGTCAAATTCAGCATAGAGTCCTTATGCTGAGGGATAGAGAGCAACATCTATCAGCTTAATCATGATGTGGTGACGGATAAACTGTCCTTTGGAGACGAGGGCTTCATCGCTGCGCAAGCACCTAAACCTCTCCCTGGCTACAGCTGACTGGCTGCAAGCAACCTGTGCACTTCTGGATGGGAAAGCATATCCCACTCCTAGCTTAAAAAGCAACAAAAATACCATTACTCCATGAATGAATCTGTAAGCCCTGCCATGGGGTTAGTCTCCTTTCTAGGAAACTCTGCTGAAGTCAGGCTCGGCAGCAACCTGAACTGAAGCACAAGATGAGAAAGAAAGAAAGAAAAAAAAAAAAAAAAAAAGGAGGTCCAGTTCCCTTTTTATTCTGAGAAAACTTTGAATTTCATGGGGTTTTAATTTCTGAGAATCAAAGATCATGTCATCTCTTCTAATTAAAATGCAAAGGGCTGAAACTAATCTCCAGGATGAAATTACTGGATTGTAAACAACAGTAACAACCAGAAAATTTCTACTTTTTCTAAAAGTCGATCAGAAAGGAAAAGGCATCACGTCTGTAATAATACCATGTTTTCCCAAGCGATCCAGAGAAGACAGTGCAACACAACACCAACCAGAACTGCAGGGTAGGGATGCAATCACGTAAGGATGTACATACTATAACTATACATAACTTACCATAGAAGCTTTTTTTTTTTTGGTTGGTTGCTTGTTTGCAGTTTGGGAGGGGAATGAAAAATTGTTTATCTAAATTGGAGCCAGGGAATATAATTATGTAATACTTAGTAATCGGCATAGAGAATTATTATTTGATCAGGAAGGTATAAATGGACTACTTTTTCTGAACACAGTTTACTAATATTGTTAAACTGGAAGGCATGACATTTATTTAGAGGAATGTGAAAATCTCAAGGACCAGCTCAGTTTTGTTTATAGCTTAAATAATATGTTATTTTAATGTCCCTTTTTCATGCAAGACTTATGAGATCATCATCTGAGGTAAAGCTGGAAAATCTGCAGCCTTACCGTCAAAGTAGACATATATCAAATCTATTAAGGAACAGAGTACAACAGCATTACAATATATCAGAGTTACTTTTATTGTCATTTGTGGAAAAACAAGCAGGGATTAATCATTTATTTCTGGATGCACAATACTTGCATCAGTGTTGTACATCAGGGCCAAAATCTAGGTCACTAAAAGCTTTTTGCTTCATGTTGTAACGGCCATAGCTTTTAAAATCCTTTCCACTTATGTTAATAAGCTTCCTACCTGGCCTCAATTCGAAAGCTTGAGCTCCAGCTTCAGTGAAAGGACAAATGGGAAAATACTTGAAAGACAGAACAACATTCAGGAGAAAAAAAAAATAGTGATCAAGTAAGTCCTGAAACTGCAGGTCATAATCTGGAAAGTGGATACAATATCAGAAATAAGGTAGATTAACATGGGTCCTCTTTCCTTGAACATGTTGTAATTCATGTTGTGAACTCCTCCTAAAAAGACTACTTTTATGATAGAAAGAAAGAAAATGAGAGAAAAAGCCCTTCTTCAAAGTAGGTATCGGTGTGTTTGAGAGGCTGTAAAACTGGTACTGGAGACAAAAATACTTGAAGCGAAACACTTTAAAAACCCATTGAAGTTAAAACAGCTACAAAGTCAAGATCAAATAATTTTTGCGTCTAAAAATGATGACGAACTTACACTGTTGCTAAAAACAAATTCTGGAACTTCTGTGAGTACAGACCAGAAAAGTTACTTAACTTGTTACAAGAATATTGTTCCATATTTTTACACAAGTCCTAATAGAAAAGATGATCTCTTCTTGACGCAGTTTCCAACCGATTTTACATTCAGGGCTGTGTAGAGCAGCACGCTGGCCAATAATCAAAGTTGTCCTGCTCACTTTTGCCTACTCTTCATGTTTTGTTTGGCAAATATTATACTGCAATCTCCTGCAGAATACAAGGATTTATCACATACTGTTAATTTGAAACATGGCAAGGAAAAAGACTTGGAGGGATAGTTTCATTCCTAAAAAAAAAAATTATTCATTTAATATATCAGTTACAGTGTAATATTTCCTATTTAAATGGTAAGCCAGAAAAACTTGGCAAAGTGCTTTACTGAAGAAAATTCCCAAATACAAGCAATAACTAGAGACATTTTATGCATAAAAAAAAGACTGTTTTATCAACATAATCACATAACTATAATTAAAGCACACTGGCAAGTTCTTATATAACGTTGTTACTTAAATGAGTATGACATCCAATCTGGTACTTTTTAAAGTCTCCAGAAATAATTCTGCATATTTAGTCACAATTATTTGATTAAATACAGTTCTTTTTTGCTTTTAAATAACAGCACTACAGCATATTTATGAAAATGAGTGTATATTGATTAACTAATAGTTTCCATAGGACAACTAGCACCATACTGGTTTGTATTCGTAAATTCCCTGCAAAAAGGGTTTATTATTGCAATTAACCACAACTTTTCAATATTTCAAGATGGAAAAGAGCCCAGAAAAAAAAAAGGGGGGGGGGGGGGCAGAAAGAGGGGAATAAATAGTTATTTGCACCAGATGCCACTTCGTCTGCAGGACAGGCCTGTCCCACTGCCCCGGCCGGGCCGCTCTCGGTGCTGGGACCATGCTCTGCTCCCCAGCTCGGCTGCCTCCCTTTGGATCCCTATTCCATAAACAGCTGCTTTACAGTAAATTCAACTATAGCACCCACCAGCTCCAAAGCAGAGACACAAGTGAGGGACAGGGGCATCAATATGAAAAAATAAACTACCAGTTGTTTGATGTTTATTTTTATCCAGCTTCTTTACTTGAAATTCAGCAACGTATCTATCAGAAACCAAACTACCCGGTTAAAGCAACACAGCCCCAGTCAGCAAGAGCTGCCCTATCACAAAGGTACCAAGCTCTCCTAAAAGAAAGTTTCAGAGAGATAGCAATGCATGGAAGAATGAACGACAACACGTCTTTTAAGGATGTTTTTGTCACTGCAGTTTAACAGATTTTGTGCAACAGACAGATTTGTAACTTCTGATTTTCAACTGCTCTGGTGTTCATTTTTCCCTATGGATCCATTTCAAGCACTTCTAAATCTGAAGGGGAGTATGTTTTATTTCACTAAAGATGACTTGAGCTATAGAAATGCAAAAATCTCTATAAAGCTAATATATACTTGTACAGTGCTTGCACATACATCCTTGGCAGGGAAATTTTGAAAGAGCGTAAAGGCAGAAAAGCAATGGGATCATTGTATCCTACAGCATCTATTTGTAAGAAAAATACAAAAGATTTCCATCTCTGCTGAACTACTTGTTATATCCACTATATGAGAGCTTTAAAAATCACTGGGTTTGTGAAATACCTTCTTTTCTAGAATCAAGTGCAGAATTTTTTTCTTTCAACAGATGGGTGTAGAATTTCCCCGGGAAAGTTCTGCCATTATTACTGTCAAAATTATTATACCTTTTTGAAAGATCTTTAGGATCCTATTCCCCCCCAGAAGACTGCCTGCAAGCAATTCAACCACAAGAGAAAACAAACAAAAAAGTTACATGACTTAGGAAAAAGGAGACCTTTGGTAAGCGCCACAGCAGCACGTGCCAGTGATGCATCCCTGGCCAGAGAGCTTCAGCCAGCAAATGCAGGAGGTTCAACAGCATGAGGGGTCATGAGAACTCCTGCTAACACAACAGCATGAGAACATCCAAAGGTGGAAGAAAAAGTCAAAACCAAATAAAACACATTTGAAGAGCTCATTTATACTGCAATTAAATCCATTATCCGCTGTATATTTTCTACCAGACTATGAAATAAATTCCAATGAGGCACTGTTAGATATCAACTCAGCTAATGCATCCTAAAACTGATTTTCGAAAGAAAAATCTGTATAAGTTTGCTCACTTAATTTATTCCCATCTCTATTATTATTTGTTAATTTTATGTTTACACAAATACACACTAGCAACACATGAAAACACAATAGCATTTAATAATTACATAAACAGCACTCACATCCAGCATCATAAGGTTTTCTAAGCCACTGCTAACTGCCATGAAGCTTTTTTCACCAGAACTATATTAAACACTGTCCAGCACGTTAACTTTCATTTCAGCCATACGTAATCTACATGGCCAATTTGTGTATCATAATATAAAATAAGAAAAAAGGAACTAAAGCATATTAATGTAGTGTTGAAATGTAAACACACAGCAGCATTACATCTGCATAGTTAAATTTACATATAGACCAAACAACAAATCACTAAGTCAAAATCAATACAAAATGATTTTCAATTCTTTGCTATTCGTCCTACAGGACCTGTCATACTTGGATTGAAGACAAGTGATTAGATGCCCCACGAGGGACACTAACGTGCACCAGGGATGGCATATCTTGATAGCACTTTGCTAGTGTCTGCAATTTTGCACTATTTTGAGTGTGAATGTTAAATTGCGGCTATCTTGCTTTTATCATTTTAAATAATTATGATTAAATATCAGAAGTTTTGGGGAAAAAAATCAGCTCTGCTAACATTTGAAAGCTTAATATCTGAAAGTTATACTGTGAGTTAAATTTTATGTATTCTCTGCACAAAAAAAGCAAATATCAAAATTAGAGTTCGTATTTCAAAAATAAAGCATTGGAATGATTACTCTACTATTAATAATGACTATAAGTCTTGAAGTACACCTTCGAAAGTAAATCCTTTCAAAAATACATGTTATCATTGTACTAGATGTAATGTTATCATTGTACTAGAATATAACACACGCAAGCCTTTGTACTGTGAAAAAAATATTAAGATATCTAAAAATTCTATCCAAAAAATGATTTTGAATACCATGAGGCAAAAACTGACATGTTTCTTCCGCTACTGAAGCACAAGCTTAAATATCAAACATAGTTAATCGCATTAAATACACGAATATACTTTTTTGGTAAAATCGGGAACAAGTTGATAAACTTTTCAAAAAAAGTGAACACAGACCCTCTTGGAGGTACAAAAGGAGAGAAGATGAGGCAACGCACATAAGCTGCAGGAGGGAAAATTCACATTAGACACGAGGCTTCTGCCACCACGATCAGGATGATCAAACACTGAAAGTGGCCGACCAGAAACCTTGCGGTCTCCAGCCTTGGAGATGCTCAGAAGGTGGTGGGCAATGCCCCGCACCAGCCAACCTCTGCGCAGGGCCCTGGCCTAGGTGCCCCCCAGGAGCCCCTTCCATGCTAAAGTTTTTAATAATTCTGTTTTATTAATCTAGCAGTTAAAAAGGCAAGTTTTGTCCAAATTAACTATCTCAAGAAAAAAACATTGTAAATGCAAATCTCAGGTTACAGACAACTTGTACTATGCTTTAAAAAATACCACAAGAAATTTCTTTAAATGTTGCAATGCCAAGTACATTGTACGACAGCAAACAACTCTTTTTTTCCCCTAAGGCAAATGCATAAAATCAACTTTACCTCTTTTAAGGTGAAATTTGTAACTGGTCAGTTCACATACTTAAGAGATTAGTAACAAAATATTGCCATTCAATATTTAGAAAATGCAAGTAACAATTTTTTCAATCTAGGATACATGTAGCAGAGAGCTAGAAGCCTAGCA